AACAATTATGATCTAAGGGTATCAAAATTTACGAAAAGACAAAGCTTAATATTTATTTGTTTATTTTATTAACATTTCTTTCAATGTAAGTTGCTTCGTTTCATGTGATAATACTTTTCTTTAATTCTATTAAACAGACTAATTTCTTGTTTAGTTACAAATTCCGCTTTCAAGTCCTATAATTGCTGTGTCGAGAATACCGACTAATTTGTCAATCGAAATGTTTTCGTTTTCATAACTCTGGGTCACTTTCTTCACTATCGGAAGTGAATTATAATGACGAGGAACTTGATTTAAATCATATAAAACGGAGACATCGAAATGAAATACTACACTTGTACGGAATTATAAACCAAATAAAAAAAACATCTGCCCTGAAGATAAGGATAGTGCTGACAGATCAACTTCCAATCCGCGGCGTGAAATTGATAACAGATTCGGATTTCAAAACATACTTTCGCTTTGTAGATACAATTACATATTAGTAAATATATATCGGAAATTCTATTTGACATAATCTTTCTATCTATCATAATCTAATAATGACGTTTCTGCTTCCCCCCTCTGCCGCAAGCACGTGAATGATAAACAGATTTCGGATTTCAAAACATACTTTCGCTTTGTAAATATATATCGGAATTCTATTGACATATCGAAAGTTCAAGCTTACTTTTATAAAATTGTCTCTAACAGTCTGCAAAAAATAATAAGCCGGATCCATTTCGAAGATTAAGGAACACGCAATGCAACATTAAACGAATAGCTTTACTGCGTATAACTCCTTTACAATTAAACGCGCATGCGCACAAAATATTCGCACCGAGGGTCTACGCGCTCTCGAAACGCTGTGCGCATGCGGAACGCGACGCATGCGCAGAAAGTTGTAGCTTTGAGGTCCGGATTATAGATGATCCGGATTATGGGTGTCGAATTAACGACTTTTACTGTATTTTAAATTTAGTTCATTTATTAGTTATAACATTTATTAATTGATACATGATGTGTATAACCTTTTTGGAATTGAAATGTTTGACTAATTAGTATTTTTTGTATTTTTATATAAGAGTGATTTATGTACTTGATTGTATGTATAACTGAGTTAGATGAACTCTTGCCAGAGTTTATGTGGGGAGTGTGTTAAGGAATATTCTTCGATATCGCCAAGAGATGGCGATAGGAGTCCATCTATTGGCTATTTACTTAACCCTTCTGAAGACGTGACTTGAAAAAATATTCTTCCTTTTGAAGGTAGAATTTCGATGCACTACACAATAGAATTCGATTTAGATTTTAGCTGGAACTATTCAGTTCTTGCCTTTTGAGCCTTAAATATTTGATTCAGGCATTTTAGCCTACATTGTATATACGTAGATATTAAGTTTAATTAAAATTTATGGAAAACCCTCCAGGCCATGCATCTAATTTTTGGATTATGAGTGATTCGACTTTGATTTAGAACATTTCGTTACACTATAAATGCATTTTTTCCATAAATTCCATGAAATGAATCACTTGAGGCACTTAATCTTTGGAAAATTCACCTATAGAAGTGGACTGATGCTGGAGGAACTACTTCTAAAATTACTTTAAAAACCTATGTATATCTCAAGAATTTCAGAGTGATTCTCATACAAAATAAAACATTTATGAATATTCTCCCTTTTTTTCCCCACATATAAAATTTGACTGAAACATAATATGTTTCTTGACACATCTAAACACTAAACTTTTAATTGTTATTAAAACAAAATTACTGAGTTTTTAAGTGCTCATTTTTAAGCTATAAAATTCCTCATCTCCACTGAATCTGCCTCATTTACCAAGGCTGCTTTAATACAAATAAATGCAAAATTCAAAATGTTATTATGAATTTGAAAATTGATTGCATCATGACAAAAAAACAGTAACTGGTGGACAATGCGACTTTCAATAAATGAGGCAAGATGGGAAGAAAAATTGATTAAAAAGTAAATATAAATTTGACAAATGTACAACCACACGTCAAATAATTTAATCAGTTGCTGAAGGATCAACAGGAGATAAAGATGTAATCCAATGGTACACCAGTTCCTATTAGGTAGGCAGAGACCAAATACTGCCTATATATACACAGCTCTAATTTCCAAGACTTTACAGCAGAGGTCCCCAACCCTATGCCCGTGCCAACATTGCACACGCCAATAGTTTTACACGTGCCCACTGCTACACAGCCCCCAATAAAAAAAAAATTACTTAAGTTTTCAATAAAATTTTACATAAACATTTTTATAGTTAGTAATTAATTAGACGGATTTAATACACATATTTGTTTTAAAAAATATTTGTTTATAATTTTAATGGGTTTAGCAGACATCTTGATTCGATGGGGATTGCGCGAGTTTGAAGATGAAGTTGTGGCCTACTTATCATTTTAGCCAGCTATTTGTCAAAAATTTTAAAATGTCAAATATCACTGTTTTCAGTAATGAGTATCACAAAATCAAAGTACAGATCAGATCTCAGCTTGGAGAACATTTCGATGATTGCTTATGAGCAGTAATATCATCATATTCTTCTTCTGATTATGAAGCAATGACCTATGAAATACAATGCCAAATATCACAAGCTTTTGTCTGTACTCTTTAGTAATTATTTATTTTAGATGAGAATATGATCAATAATTTTCATATCTTAAAATTATAATTTTGGAATATTTTTTGTGGTTCTACTTAAGAACCAGGTTCAGAAATGTATGTATGTATGCATATATGTGTTTATGTATGCAATGTATATATGTAAGTACGAATGTATGTGTGTCTATACATATACACATACATGCACATACAATACAAATACACATTCATACATTTCTGAATATGGTCTCAATAACAGAACAGTAGCATTTTTGATACATTATGTATACTATTAATTATGTCAATTTATAAATTTACCTTGAAAGAATAAATGCACCCACCACCAATACTCTAGAACAGCAGTTCTCCCCCTTTTGACTAACGCGTACCATCTACATAAAAATTGAAAACCTTCAGTACCACTACCACCACCACCACTCTTGAATAAAGCTCAGATCGCATAAATTTATGAGTCTTAGAGAAAAACTCAGTCAGGATTTTGGGAGTTTTAATTTTTGAATTTTATAGTTAAAAATACTTTTATTTCTTTGCATACCAGCTATTTTTCTTTTGTGTACCACCAATGGTACACATACCACCAGTTGAAAACCAGTGTTCTAGAATGTACCCTAAGTGTAAAAAGGTTGAGGATTCCCCCCCCCCTTCAGAGAATCGCAAATCCTCCTATAATTATAATCCTGATTAGGGATGCTATACCTTAGATTTCATATTGTCTTAATCAGACCCTATCAAAAATCATATACCAAAATACTAGAGCTTCATTGTGCATGTTGAAGCAGAATTCATGCTTTATTATCTCTGCTATCACTTGCCTCCCCAAGCAGTTCTCTGCAGCCTTGCTGATGTTTTTAATAATATGCTAGAATTCAAGAAAATTGTCATAACATACAACAACTTAAGTATACTCCATGTACTTGATATTATTGTAATGAGAAGAGATCCCACATGAATAGCTTCAACACATTTGAAATTTGACAGATTGATGCAATTCTATCTCATACAACTAACTATTGACTATAATAACCTTGACTTGAAAACATTCTTCTAAACATGTCTGTTGCACTCCATTAACTCCTGTTTACCTCAATTGCAAGCATCCTTTATAAGTTGATGTGGTACATCATTTCGTTTTGAGAGCCGTAAAAAAATTGCAGGGAAAATGTATGCGCAAAAGTGCCAAATCTAGCAAATGCGTCCACTTAACAGTGCATCAAAATCTAGCGTACGGCGCTGATTTCAAATTGTGTAAGTTTAGATAGTTCTATATATTTCTTAAGATGCTGTTGAAATACTAGTTTAATTTTTAAATGCATTTTTGATATCCTATGGATTTCACAATTTGGGAATTGCCTATAACGAAAAGTCTGCAATAGAATTTTTTCAAAGAAAAGGCATCATTCATTATAGAAAATTATGTTTGAACAACCAACGAGATGAAATTATGCTTTAGTGATAACTCGGTAGCGAAATAGCGATGCAGGAATCCATTCAGTTGTTTAGCCTTTTTTTATATAAATTATAATAATGATTTGAAATAGTTATTTACTTGTATGCTTCCATTCACTTATTCCATTTACTTCATTCCTTTTTTGTATAAATTATAATAATCAAAAAGTATTATATGAAATTAACCTTTCAGCTAAATTAAAACAATAGTCTTAGATAGTTATTTACTATTATGCTTCCTTTCTTGCGTTAGGGTTGCCGCAGTTATTTTTGGTAGCACTGGTATCAACAATAGTTTGGCGCTTTTTTACATTCCTTAAAACGTAATAGTACCGTTGATGTACTTATAACATACAATATATCATGCTGAAAACTCATTTTTTTAATAGTACTAATTCTTTAATAGTACTTCTTAAAATAGTACTAATTCTTTCAAATTCAGAAAATGAGATGTAACAAAGTCTCTGATCTCACATTAGCATCTTAAACACACTAATTAACACCTTGCATTAGCATTTTGAACACACTCATGAATTCTGATAGGCAGCATTGATCCCATTACATTTTGAGGTCTTTCAGTTCGTTACAAGGATAAAGATCTCGTGTCACAACATTCTTCAAACACCCGGTGATTCTATATACAAATCATGTACATTTTCCAAATATACAAAGAATTTTCAGTTGTTTACATTAATTATTTCCAGATGGGTTTTTCAAATGAAAGGCAAATCGCATATTTTTTCTTTAAATCATAAATTGTTAGAGAAGTGGTTATAACATCTTACAGAACTAAATTACTGTATCAAAAATAATTACAATCAATTACAATGCTCATCAGAGAGTTACTTTTGCTCCATAACAAGACTGTTTACATAAAGCAAATTAACTGACCGAATAAAAATATTTCATGAATATACTCACCTAAGCATAGCACATGAGGTTTCACAGAACACTTTGCAATAAACCTCTGGCGAGGAGCACTCACAACATGGCAAGAAGTATTTCGTTGGCAAATATGTTCATAACCTGGAGTCTGATAGCAATATCGACAGTTGTACACTCTTGTGAAAACTCGATCACCCTTCAGAGAAAAGAAGTATATAAATAAGCTCTAATAAGTAAAATGTCCTATGTAAGTTCTTAATTTTTATTTTTAGATCAAGTAATTAAATTTTCTGTATAGAAGCAAAGAACTGCTTGAGGTAATTCTTGATCAAAATTGACAATATCCTATCATTATAAAATCTTCAAAGGTATTTTTCATTTTGGCATCAGTAAGCATCTATAAACATACATGAATTTTTACTTCATTACAGACACATACATAACCTGAATAATTATAAATTTCAGTGACCAAAAATTGTTCCAGGATTGGGGTAATTCCTAGTCTTTTAGGAATAATTATTTGACAGCACTCTTTTTTGGCACAAAAATGTTTATGGATTTATTCTTCATGGCAAAGTATTAACCCTCCGAGCATTACAGGTTTAGCCATGAAATTTCAAAGTTGCTCAGAATGTCATGAATAAATTGTATTTTCTTTATTATAATTAAAAAACAACTCTCACAATGTGTACCTTGATTTCTTTTCTTTCAATATACATTTAACCCAAAATTGGATACATTAAAAGTTGGCAGAAATTTTCATGTGTAATGAATAAGAAAGCCACCCTTCTACATGAAATTTTCCATCTATAAGACTGAGAGCGTTAAAGCAGAACAAATTACATAAAAGTTATTTTATCTTATAACTGGAAAAAAAAAAAAAAAGTCTACAAAGGAAACTTAGGGTGTAAACACAAAATTAATGGGTTGCTAATTTTAAGAGGGAATTGAAAAAGATCAGAATAAAAAAAGAAGAATACCTGTTTAATCAAAGTACGCTCCAGCAGCACCAATACATTGTTACATTGTTGTTGATGTGTGAAAAGGCCAATCATACCATCTTTATAAAAATAGTAACTCTAAAAGTGGTGAAGTCCTTGACTGCCCAATAAACTGATGTATTACTAGCAAACCATTTTCTTGGCAAAAAATGGCTCAAGTGAAGGAAAAATACTAATTTCTTAGGGAAATATCAGAACATACATGGAAGATGAGGTATAATTTCATATTCCTAATTGTTGATTTGCTGTAGGGTTGACAATGTCTGTGAGTACTGAATCTTTAGGCACAATTTGCCATATACCTATATATTATCATGCTGCATTTACTACTCAATTCCATGGAACTGTGAACAACAGCAGATTATCATACAGTAAATAATATCTTTTTCAGATGCAAAGGTAACTCTGAAGTATTTCCTAAAGCATCTATCATGCAACAAATGTATATGATTGTCATCAAAATCTCTCTCTTATCCATATTCACAGTTCATAACAAGAACCTTTCTTTTTCTTAATATTGATGAGCACGTTTTCAAATACCATGCTTTGTTTTCATCAGTTAGTTTGCAAAGTGCCCATTTGTAGAATTTCCTAATATTTCTCGTTACTGTTAAGTACCTTGAAATAGTTGAAAAATGTGCATGTGTGATCTCTTGTATAATTACCATGAAACTGATTCAATTAAATCTTCTAATTCATTTAAATCAATGGAAGAAGGAAGATGGCCATAAGGTTCATTTTGCAGCCTCAAACATCCTTATCAAAATTTTGCAAACCAATGAAGAGTGGATTTCTCATTAGTTGTTCTTCCGTAGAATGTTTCATTGATTTTTTTTTTTTTTTTATTATTATTATTATTATTATTATTATTGCAGCTTCCACAAAATTTTCAGTTTAAATTCATTAAGCTACAGCAGCTTTTATTGACTGAAGTTATGTCAGTAGTTCCAATGCTTAATGCTTGGTGAATAAACAAATATTAGAATTGCATCACCCACATGGGAGAAACCTCAGTGATTGCTTTCTTCAACTATTGAAAATCCGATGGTTTTCAACCGTCATTTCATTTGCAACAACTCTATAGATCTCTCTTGCAACTTAAAAAATAATTATTATTCAACTAATTTACTGCAATGCTTACTTCTTGATCATCAAATACCAATGAATTAAAACCTTAAAAATATATTGGTCCATAAAAATAACACTGAATGTTTATGTTTTTCAGTCTATCCCACATTTATGCTTCCTCCTTAATAAAATACTATACAAACTTCACTGCTCAGTACTTCTGTGACTTTCCCCACACATCATGGTATACAGCATAACTGTGTTCTTGAATTGCATTATATGTGTTTTCTAGCAATATTTTGATATTTAGCAATGTAGTAGTACTCATACTTAATTATTCAATCAAATTTATATCATTCATATAATCTTTAAAGAATCCACTGTATTCTACATAATCACTAATTTGTAAATATTTTGGAAGTTCATAAACTAGATAACAGTTTCTTTTTGGCTATATTAGGAAAGGGCTGTGACTAGATATGTCTACTTCTTTTATTTTATTTCAGCCTTCTTTTTTTCATTTTCTCTGCAATGTAATTTCTAAGAGAACTACTTGAAGTGCTCACCTTAGACATTTGTTTATTTAAATCTTCAAAGAAGGATGACAGCAGGAACTGACTAATGGGTGGATGCATTAGGACTGCACCCTAAAAATTGGAACTGAAGGCTGAAATTAAAATGTAAGTTAAGAGTAATTCCTTTTCAGAATCTGATGTTTCAAAATAGATATAGATTACACACTGCATTTAAAATTAAGAAAATAACTTAGCCATTAGGTTTTAAAAAAATATCTGACATCAGATTTTAGGTTATAAGCTTATTACAAAAGCAATATCATGCATAAATACCATAAAAAATCACTGACAAGGAATTGTCCCAGTGAGGAAGAATTACTTCATACATACAGGAAATAAATTATTATACTCTTTAAATTATTTAAATGAAAGTGGAAGAAAATCTTTCAGACTTTTAACTGGGATATTTTACAGTTGAAACAAAAAATAAACGAGCAATAACAGTAGATTCTCTTTTGCATAACCTGAAACCAAACATCAGTTAAATATACTTCAAACAGTGAAGCAGAGACATGAAATCAAATAAAATAATGTAATGATGAATGCTGAGATGCAAAGATACATGAACCACACATAATGATTTAAAATGAGGCAAAACCATAAAACATGAAGTATATTAAACTACAGAGAGTGTTTACACATTTTTAGAATGATTTCAATACAGAATTTTAAAAAAGCAAATTTTTTAATACAAGTTTTTGGCAACAGCTTATTATTTTAAATGAGAAATATCATCTTTTTAAATTTATTCTTTTTTCAAAATGTCGTATGGAAGCAAGCTGTGAATTGACGAATATGTTTATGCACTTTCTGAAAAAAAAATATTGCTATTACCTAATTCAAAACTGCTGTGAAATGCATGGTATTAAAATTTCTAAATGAAAAATAAGTAACATTATTAATCAGAAAGGAAAAAACTGTCAATTATTAATTCTAAATGGAGAGACTACTCCAAATGAGCACTGAAAAAAGATATGAACTCTTTCTAATATTTCTAAAGTTAACTCATTGGCAACAAGAAAAAATCTGCTGACATACAAATCAATTGCAAAGTCTTTGAATGCATCTGCAGCAATAAAAAATAAAACAATACACCAAGATTTGAAACCTGAAAAAGCTAAAAGACATAATGTGGTAAACATATATTTACCACAATATGTTATATCGCCACACCTTTTGGTGATAATTGGCAATTTTTGGCGGTACATGTACACCGAGTTTGTGCAATTCTTTCACTTGTTATTTTGGCTTTCTGTCGTGCCAAAATAACAAGTCAAACAACTGCAGAAACTTGGTATCCATTGACCAAGTTTGAACTTGGTATTGAACTTGGTATTGACCTATTTTCACTTTAAAAAAAAATCAGAGACTTGTACAAACTAGGCATTGTGCCTCCCTTTGTCCATGTACACATGGATCTATATTCACTTAAAAAGTCAAAGGAGCAGCTAACAAAAAATATATGATCTTAATAAACTACATTTTAAATCAAGCAATGAAATTACATAAAAAAAAAGGAAATTCATCTTAGCACTACACAAGAGAAATATCCACTTATCTTATTTGCAAATTTCCCTGGCTTCAGTCAAACAAAATTCCTTAATCGCATCCAAAATCTTTGAATGCATCTGTAGCAATAAAAAATAAAACTTTAAACCAAGATTTACAACCTGAAAAAGCTAAAAACATATTGTGGTAAACATATATTTACCACAATATGTTGTATCACTACACCCCTTGGTGATAATTGGCAATTTTTGGCAGTACATGGACGCCGAGTTTGTGCAATTCTTTAACTTGTTATTTTGGCTTTGTGTATTGCCAAAATAACAAGTCAAACAACTGCACAAACTTGATATCTATGTACACATTGACCTATTTTCACTTAAAAAAAAATCAGAGAATTGTACAAACTAGGCATTGCGCACTCCCTTTGTCCATGTACACATGGATCTATATTCACTTAAAAAGTCAAAGGAGCAGCTAACAAAAAATATATAATCTCAATAAACTACATTTTAAATCAAGCAATGAAATGACATAAAAAAAAAAAAAAAAGGAAATTCATCTTAGCACTACACAAAGAAAATATCCACTTATCTTACTTCCAAATTTCCCTGTTTTCAGTCAAACAAAATTCCTTAATAGCATCCAAAAACTTCCTAAAAATATCTGAACTAGAATCTCTATACTGGCATCAGCTCATAAATTCACAAAAATAAGAGTAAAAAATATCCTACGTAGTGCAGGTATCCTCCGACATTCAACCATATGCATTTTCTTCCTACAAATAGGACACTTTTAATGGCAACTAAGTAAACCTTCATTTACACACCAGTCAATTAATGCTTTTTCCCGTTCATTCAAAATCGTACAGAAACTTCAAATTAATCTTACAACATTCAACCATTTTACAGCGCAAACCACAAAATAACAATGTACTAAAATCCGTCCCATCATTCAAACTCACCGCAATCACGCAACCAATTACATGATGATAGGGTTTCCATAGCATTCTACTCAGGTTACCATAAATGAAATAGCAACTTGGCAATAAATGAAACAACAACTTAGCGATAAAATAAGGGGCACCCTTCAATCCACTCTAACCCATAATATTCATCAGCTTTTGCTGAGGCATGTGGCTCAATGCAGAATAATATGTAGAACCCAGTATGAAAACTATTTAGCAAAAGATAAATGCAAATACATTGTCACCCTTGGTAGTGCATGAGTTTACGTAAATGATTGCAACGAAAAAAGATGACAAGAAAGTGATGTATCTATCTATTAACATTGATTATCGAAAACAAGGAGAAAAAAGTTTAAAAACCTGGTTCCATAAATGCAAAGAAAGTTTAAGTAAGGAGTTTATGATTGTTGCAGGATTTTATTACAATGGGAAATTAAAAATATGGGTGGAAAATACTGTTAAAATCAACTCATGTTTTATCAAGAGAAAGTTTATGCCCAATCAAGGGAAAGTTTTGCGTCCAGTATAAGAAATTCGACTTTTCGAGACTTTCAGATTGAAACTTCACAAAACAAATGAAGAAGACTTACTTTAAAAGTACCACTACATTCTTTGAAGAAGTCAAGACTGATACAGGTATTGCATATGTATCTGTGTATTTCTGCGAGGCCCCCTGATATTTCACCTATGGACTAGTGTGCCTTTAGTCCCTTAAAAAAATCTGTTTCTAAGTGCAAACCCACCATGACTGATGGACTCTGGAATATAATTGAAGAAGAATGGAAATCAATAGCACTGAAAATTTTACGGAAAAGCCTTCTATCCGGGAAATCACATTGCAGACTTATAGACCAGAAAAAAAGCTGTGTAAACATCCTCTGTATATTGTACTAAAATGCCAAGACATTACAATAAAACTGAATGAAATCAAAACAAGTTAAGTAACAAAACACAATCTCTCATATGGCTTTAATATTGAATTAATCACTTTCCTGATTATTGGATCAAGAGGCAAGTCAGAGATGCTAAAATATGGACATTCCATTAAAGAGTTGGCACACTGAGAGAACAATATCATAGTTTGAACAAATAAGTTCAATCTCAGCTTTTAATAGATGATTATGGGTAACTAACTTAACAGTAACTACTTCTAAGATGAGTTAAAATTACTTCCTCCTTCCAATTTCAAATAGTCTCCTAATATTCTACTTTATGCTTGATGCTTCACAACTTGTTACTTATCTGAATATTCTAGTATTGCTGCCATTTATTTATAATTTTGCTTTTGATGATCATGTTGATGCTTTTGATAATCATGCTGATTTTGCAGCAGTTTCTGCCAGATCATTTATTCTAATGCTTGTATGTCTAGAAATCTTACAGTAAAGAAACTGATACCCACAGAAAGTTAAATTAAAATGCAATACTATTAAAGTTTCAACAAATCCAGAATTCCAGATATCAGGAAATGCTTCTACAGCTCTTAGTGCCTATATCAGTCAGAATAAATAATAAGCATTTTCTAGGTTCTGGGATAGCTTTGACATGTGCAAAAGAGCATAATAACATAGCAGTTAATTCCAAAGTGAGCAATGAGCATGCCATCAGTATACATGGGAATATAACTGCTAAATTTATGTCTGTGTTCAAGAAAAAGCTGGTGATGGAAAACATCAAGCAGCTGAATTTGTGCATTTTCCCAAGCTGAGATTTCCCAAAATTGTTTGCTGTCTGGTCATTCACATCAGTTAAAAGATATTCTTCAAGCAGCAGCCAGGCTCCTAAAAGGAAAGAAGGCATACAAGATGGTCATGCCTCAAACAAGCAATCAAGCAAGTTATGCAAAGTGGTCTTACTAGGATGTTTCAGATGGACGCCATATTCCTGAAGGATGACAGCGTGAAGATCAAGAAGAGAAAATACCCAACCTCCTTGCACACAAGATGATGCTCCCTTCACAGAATTCGAAATTAATAATATTATTAAAAATCTACCACAGAAAAAAGCTCTAGGTCCAGACAGGATAGATAACATAATAATAAAAATAATAAACAAACACTTCCCCTCTCTTATCCCGGTACTAATAAACAAATGCCTACAGTATGGTATTTTCCCCTCCTGCTTCAAGATAGGACAGATAATTCTGTTCAACAAGAAAGGTCAAGATGCATCCAATCCGAGCTCATATAGGCCAATAAGCTTTCTTCCAGCGCTGGGAAAAATTTTTGAAAGAGCCCTTGTGAATCACCTCAGGCACCATTTGAGAAAATCAAATAGCATCAGTAACTTGCAATTTGGATTCACACCCAACAGAAGCACAATACATGCAATCAACGAAGCAATAATCCAACTTTCTAACAACAAAGCCCAAAATCTGCATTTCGCTCTACTATGCC